ACGCTTTTTTTACTTGATTTGAATTTTTTCAACATTTTATTCTCTTTGGGCGAAGATTACACCCGAGAATTGCTTGACTAAATTATTACGTCTCCTGAATCCGGATAGAACTAAGAAGCTGGGCAGCAAATATGCCTAAAAAAACAAAACCTTTCAGTAATAGTTGTGGACATCCCATTTAATTAACTTTACTGAGGTAATCCCAAACGTCGGGCACACATATCCAGGCTTTTCGATCCCGAGCTGCATACCACCAGTTAGCACTCATCACCTTGCTCGATGTATATTCATCATTTTTTCAGCAGTAATCCGAGCGGTCGTTCACTATCTCGCAGTCACCACTCACTACTACGCGATGTCCCGCCGGTATTCAACAAGGCGAGTTATGGGAGCGAGCGTACATATGTATAGTTGGTTGCGTTCTTACCTGATTTATGTAAAATAATTCGTGTCATTAATTCACAATTATATGTGTTCATTCTCGAAAGTCGCCAAAATTATGAATTTTTTGAATTTTGTGGAAAAATTACCCTGAAATGATTGATATTCTGTTCAAATGCAGCTTTCAGCACCTCCTTTGTTAATTTCGTATCTTTTCCGGCCACTGTGAATACTTGCCGGTCGCTTTTTGAATTAACAATTAGTACCATCACATCGCATAAACTCACGTCCTTAATACAAGAATCATTATTTATTAAACTGATATGCATTATGACATATAAAATGTGTAAATTTTAAAACACTTTGTTGCTCTTGGTTGGATCCTTTTTGATAATATCCCAGATTTCCTCATTTGTAGTCCTATTTCACAAATTTTATCCCTTAATTTCATTTTTTTTTCAGGTGATAGAGTTACTATGTTCTCTTCATAATTTTTGTACACAGAAAAACTCCTTAATTGCTGGATTTCTGAACTCTTCATTCGACACGCCAATAGATTTGTTTTTTGAATTTATCGTCACATCTCAATGCAGAACCTAATTTGCCGAAATTGTCGAGTTATTACTTTATCAAGGTTTAAACTCAAATTCTAATTTTGAGCAGGCAATCAGCAATTCCTCGGCACAGTTGAAAGATATGCAAAAATGGCGGAAAATAAGTTACGTATAGAGTTGTATAAGGTTAGAAAACAGGAATTTAAAAAAATTTCAGTTTGTCCTACCCTGTTAGCGATTATCCAGCGTATTCGATAATTACTGAGAACTGGAAATAGAAATATAGTTGCAGGGGTTCAGGAAAATAGAGTCTTAAGGGTTTCGAGTTTTAATTTCTTACGAGAGTTTTCATCATCTGTCAGTGAAACGAAAGGATCAATAAGAAATTATTTTAAAGGCGCTGCTGCCACATACCTGGAAATGCTGATAACGACTTTTTAAATTATTCGCAAATTTTTCGATGTCCACAGGTGCAGTGGGCACAGTGCCAATTTTGTCGATAACATCAACAATTATGTCGAGACTTTTGCCTGGGAAAAGCTGGCATGCTGGTGATGTGTTCGGAACGGTTGCCGCATAAGAC